CCTTCCCCTTCCGCCCGCCCCGATTCCCCCCGGACAGCTTTCACCGGCGCGACGGGGGGCGGGCGGGGCGCAGCGGCAGCCAATGGGAAGGCAGCGTCGGGAGGTCCCGCCCCCTTCCCCGCCCCCCGTCCCCGCGCGCAGCCGGCGGTGGGGAAGGAGCGGCGGCCGCCATGTCCATCTTCACCCCCACCAACCAGATCCGCCTCACCAACGTGGCCGTGGTGCGGGCGCGGCGCGGCGGCAAGCGCTTCGAGATCGCCTGCTACCGCAACAAGGTCATGGGGTGGCGCAGCGGAGCGTGAGTGCCGGGCCGCCGCCGCTGGGGCCTGCCCCAGGGGGCCGGGGAGGGGCGGGGGCGGTGTGAGGGAAGAAGCCGTGTGAGGGAAGAAGCCGTGTGAGGGAAAGGCCGGTGTGAGGGAAGAAGCCGTGTGAGGGAAAGGCCGGTGTGAGGGAAGAAGCCGTGTGAGGGAAAGGCCGGTGTGAGGGAAGAAGCCGTGTGAGGGAAAGGCCGGTGTGAGGGAAGAAGCCGTGTGAGGGAAAGGCCGGTGTGAGGGAAGAAGCCGTGTGAGGGAAAGGCCGGTGTGAGGGAAGAAGCCGTGTGAGGGAAAGGCCGGTGTGAGGGAAGAAGCCGTGTGAGGGAAAGGCCGGTGTGAGGGAAGAAGCCGTGTGAGGGAAAGGCCGGTGTGAGGGAAGAAGCCGTGTGAGGGAAAGGCCGGTGTGAGGGAAGAAGCCGTGTGAGGGAAAGGCCGGTGTGAGGCCCAGCTGTGGCGGTGGGGAGACCCATGTGGGTCCTGGCTGTGGAGCCAGGGACGGGGAGATCTGTGTGGGGCCCGACAGCGGAGCCCGGGACGGGAGACCCGCGTAGAGCCTGGGGACGGGGAGACCCGCATGGAGCTGAAGCTTGAGCCCGGGAGGTTGGATGGTACCTGGCTGCAAAGCCCAGGGGGACGGTAAGAGCCGTGTGGGAGCGCCCTGGACGCTGGGGCGGTGCCCCTGACCTTCCCTGGGGAGTGACATTAGTGCAATAGAAAGTCCTAGGCACCACTGATTCAGATCTTGGCAGCACGACTTGTTCCTCCTTGCTAAAATCTCTCACGCCTTTGTGTTGCTTCATGGATTTTCTAACCCAGTCCTAATCTCTAGGGAGAAAGATCTCGACGAGGTCCTGCAGACGCACACGGTGTTTGTCAATGTCTCCAAAGGCCAGGTGGCGAAGAAGGAAGATCTTGTTAAAGCATTTGGAACAGATGACCAAACTGAGATCTGTAAGATGGTAGGTTTCAACCACTTTACCTTACAAAAGCTTGGGGAAAACTTTCCAAATGTTTTACATAAGAGTCACACAGACATGGTAAGCTGCTGTTTTACTGGAAGGTTTTCACAGAATGCAGCACTGCTGTAGGCAAAAGTATTCAGTTTTTTGTTAAGAAATGGGTAGAAAAGAGTTACCACTCTGTGGCATAGTCTTAAATTTTATATATGCTTCTTGCTGAAAAGAGTTCTGCGTGTTCTGTATAACATACAACTTCTGCTATGAGCCAGCAATGTGCCCCTGTTGCCAAGAAGGCCAATGGGATCCTGGGCTGCGTAGGGAAGAGTGTGGCCAGTCGGTCAAGGGAAGTCATTCTCCCCCTCTGCTCTGCACTGGGGAGGCCACAACTGGAATCCTGCGTCCAGTTCTGGGCTCCCCAGTTCAGGAGAGACAGGGAACTACTGGAGAGAGTCCAGTGTGGGGCAACAAAGATGATTAAGGGATTGGAGCATCTCCCTGATGAGGAAAGGCTGAGAGAGCTGGGGCTCTTCAGCCTGGAGAAGAGAAGGCTGAGGGGAGACCTTCTTAATGGTTATAAGTACCTAAAGGGTGGGTTGAAGGAGGATGGAGCCGGACTCTTTTCAGTGGTTCCCAGTGACAGGACGAGGGGCAACGGGCACAAGCTGGAACATGGGAAGTTCCACTCCAATGTGAGGAAGAACTTGTTTGGGGTGAGGGTGGCAGAGCCCTGTCAGAGGCTGCCCAGGGAGGGTGTGGAGTCCCCTTCTCTGGAGATCTTCAAGCCCCACCTGGATGCTCCTGAGTGATGTGCTCTGGGCAGCCCTGCTTTGGCAGGGGAGTTGGAGTGAATGATCTCTAGAGGTCCCTTCCAACTCTGACAGTTCCATGATTCTGTGATGTGCACTGATGTTTACAGACACAGAAAAAGGTTACCCAGCAGTGACAAGTTTCCCACCTATGATATATTATAAAGGATGCACAGAAAGGAAGGGGACAGTTGCTTATTTTGGGCAGTGCAATTAAGTGTTAAGAATAGATCTTCTTCGTCTTTCGTGGTAGGATATGAACTGTGGACGTGTTGTAGGTGATGAGAATTAAAGTAAATCTGGGCTTACTTTTTGTAGTTTAGTGTTTCATTGGAGACTTTTTTCTCTGAAGTCTTTCCAGTGTTGTCTGTCATAACGGTGTACATTACTAATATGGTTATTCTTTTTCTGCACTTCAAATCTTAACCGTTCAAGCAATTGTCAAATTTAACAAAGTTACTGGAGTTTTCACTCTTTAGCCAAATCTGTGATGTTTATTAACAGATCCTTTGTATTTTTCCTGTGCAGATTTTATCAAAAGGGGAGCTGCAGGTATCGGACAAAGAACGCCACACACAGCTGGAGCAGATGTTTAGAGACATCGCGACTATTGTGGCTGACAAATGTGTGAATCCTGAAACAAAGAGGCCATACACCGTGATCCTCATCGAGAGAGCCATGAAGGATATTCACTACTCTGTCAAACCCCACAAGAGCACGAAGCAGCAGGTTCGTTTTCTTGCAAAATCACCTTCTGCTCAGAGATGTTGTCTTCAAGTGTAATTTCTCTGGTCGCGGTCACAGGGGTCAGCAGAGCCCTTTGGTCTGAAGCCCGGCAGTTGAATGCTGGATACAAACAGCCTCTGAAACTCCTGCACTTTGTTTTCTAACCATTCAGGGAAGGGGGAAGGAAAGAAACTAATCAAAGCAGCGATAGTGATATGCCTGGAACAGAAATAAAAGTTCTATGATTTAAATTGAGATAGTAAATCAGGCTTTGCATCTGAGTGACATGGCTATCTGTTGCTCTGAAGTGTAACTACTACTTAATGTTATTTCAGACAGGTTGTTTTAGTATGGGAAGTGATCACAGACCTTAGGAACTCAGCTTTTTTTTTTGTTAATCTATCAAAATAGTGTAATAGCAAACTCTCTGCCGCAGAGGGGCAGTGATCAGCACTGAGAAACGTGTCTGAAGCTGACACAAAGGATTTGAGATTTTGATCTGCGCAGTGTTTTTTAAGCAGGTGAGTAAATGCTTTTTCTACTTAATGTCTTCACAGGCGCTGGAAGTGATCAGACAATTAAAGGAGACCATGCAAATTGAACGTGCTCACATGAGGCTGCGATTTATTCTTCCAGCAAAGGAGGGAAAGAAACTGAAAGAGAAGCTCAAACCACTGATTAAAGTTATTGAGAACGAAGACTTCCATGAACAGTTGGAAATTGTAAGCCGTAAAGAAGTCCTTGGGTTTCATACTTGATCTGACTACACCTGTAGGGTTTACTAGAAAATTGATTAATATATAGAAGTGGTTTAGATAAGCTGCAAGTTGACCAGAGATTCTAAATCAGACTGTAGTTTGTAGTTTTTAATTTCACCGGAGCTTAGTGATGGAAACCTGGGAGCAGCCTTTGTTACACAGAGGTTGCTGCTTCAAGCTGAGGAGAAGCACAGAGTGATTCCTCTGCCACAACACTGATAAGCTTCTCTGCAAATATGCAGTGTTATTCTTATATTTATTTGGTGGGTCAGGCCTGTATTTTGACAGTGGTTAATGAAAGTTTTTTTAAAAAATAGCCTGTGGGAAAGCAAAATTTGGTATTTGTAAAAAATCTTTCTGAGAGCAGATTAGAATCTAACAATCCCAGTTGTCAAAAGACACTGTCCAGCCATGGGTAAATGGAACTGCAGAGTTTCTGTGGAAAGAGTACATGATAGAAAATGCTTATGAAATCCTCAAAGTCCTTTTTAGAAATTAAACAGTATTGGTTTTTAAAGAAAGTTAATGTTGGACCTTAGAATCATAGAATCATTTAGGATGGAAAAGGCCTTAAAGGTCATCAAGTCCAACCATCCACCCAACACTGCCGCCTTGAAAGGGGGCTAATAAAAACCAGATATTATTGCTTGACTGATGAAATGTGAACTATTTCAGGTGTGCCTTATCGACCCAGGCTGCTTCAGAGAGATCGATGAGCTGATCCGGAGTGAGACGAAAGGGAAGGGAACGCTGGAAGTGCTCAGTCTGAAGGACGTGGAGGAAGGAGATGAAAAGCTTGAATAGCGACAAGCTTCCCGGGGCCATTCTACTTTCACTAAACATCCTCCGAAATGACTGGCATTTGCCACTCTCTTCTGTTAGGCCTTTGTGCTTTTTCCAATCTCTTGCTGCCAAATATTTTCTGACACTAATCCTTCGGGATTTTTTTCCATGCAGTGTGGTGTTTTTTTATCATTTGACACTTGCTTGGTTTACAAATGGGTTTGCCTGTAGGAGCGTTTTGTGTCAGAGTTGCACTAATGAGGATTGAGCTAAGCCTCGATGTGGGAGTTCCTGGAGCTTGGGTTCAGTTTAAGGGTCGCTGTTGAAGAGTGTTTGAGTGATGGTGCCAATGGGTTTTGCTCTGGGTGGTCAGTGTTGAGTGGAAGATTCCATGATAGGTCACTGAGGGGTGAGTTTTGTATGTGAGGAGAGGAGCTTAAAGAAGAGGGAGCTGTGTTTTCACTTCTGAGCAGGTGCAAAATGCAGATGGTGTCTAAAGTGATCTCTTGGCAGCATGAAAACTGACTTAGACTCCCATAATTGGCTGCTTGATAATTAGAGTACTTTAAAGGACCATTCTTAGAGATTTCCTTCACTGGATATAGCAGCACTTGCTAACTTAGAAAAAATGTTCTCCAAATAACTTATTCGTAAAATATATTTAGCTACATTAATACAAATAAACGATCATCTATTTATATATTACAGATGCAGAAAAGAAATAAAATAATTATTTTTGTTAATAGCATAGGAGGTCTCTCCGGCCGCGGCGATGCTGTGTGGGCTGAAGGGGTGGTGGGTGCTTGTCAGCTGTTCTCCTTCACGTGATAAAGTGGGTCTGGAAGGGTCGGTGGTGGCCTCGGGCCTTTGTTGGGCCCTAATTCCCTGGCGGTGACTGTTTATGCTTCAAGACCCTTTGCTCTTCAGTGCGGTAGAGAACAATTCTGGCAGCTGTCCTTTACCCTCTGGGCTTTTTTCTGCTGCTTTCTAATACACGCGCAGAATTTCCAGCCAGCTCCTGGGGCGCAGCGTGCAGTTCTTGATAACTCTGTTACATCTCGTTCCGGCTGCGTTAAACAAATGCTTTTTAAATTGAACTTGTGTGTTTGAAAGAAGAGGGGAAGAGAGGACAACAACTGGAGGAGGAGATAGTAAAAATGCAAACCACCAGGGAAAGTGTATATCCTTGGGTGACTGAAAGCTAAATCAGCAGGAATTAGGGAGCAAAAGCTCCTTAATTACGTATGAAGGTAACGTTAATTATTATAACAAGTATTACATCCCTGTTTCCGTGCCGATAGCGGGCAGCAAGTCAGGAGCTGCAGCCTGGCCGAGGCCTCTCCCGATGCCCACGGGTTGTGTTCATTGTTTGCTGTTAGAGCGTGTGACTGCCCGTTAGATGACAATTAAACAGCCCTGGGTTGGACTCTGATGTGACCTTTCTCTTTGTCCCATTAACACACGGTGAATTTTCTAGAATTTACACAGGGAGTTGGAGGCAGCCAGAGAGGGAGAGGTTTGTCCTGTGGGGTGCCTGGTCCTTAGTCACCAGCTGCCTCTTAGGAGCTGATTTCTGCCCCGGGCTGTTGACACAAGCGTGTGCCAGGTTGGCTGAAATGTCTTTAGTAATATTTGGGAAGGACTTGCACTGCAGAGTCTGAGTTTTGCTGAGGACCAGTGAAACGGAGATTCTTGAAGTATTTTATCCAACTTGAAATGCTTTCTCTTGCCCCAGGGCAATCTTCCGTGGCGTTTGAAGGCTGCCTAATCAGGTTTAGTGGCAGAATGAGATACTTGCTGTGTGGCTGCAGCCCCAACGTGGAGATCTCTGTGTGTGTGGACAGACTGGCCAACGCCTCCTGTGCACGGGCCCTTGTCTTTCAGACAGGCCTCTCTCCGTGCGCTCTTTGAGAAGCGCTACAGATGATAATGTTAATATTTACCTTGTCACTGGCCATTAGCCCTAACGAGCAACTCATAAGTCTGCAAATGAGACACTGAGTAAGAGCCTCAGCTGATACTGGGCTGGTAACACTTGATTCCACAATCCTTTAATTTCTTTGTTTTCTTTATTCAACACCCAGAGCACAACAGGGCTGCTTGAGTCCCGGAAACAATCTGAGCTGATACACGAGCTTGGTGCTAGGAAGGCAATTTCCTTAATAAAGTCTTTCTCTGTGAATCAAATGTTAAAAGATTTTTCTCTGGTAGAGAGAGTTTGGTTTAATTTATCAACAAATAAATGTACGTGCTTGCCTTTCTTGTCATATTTGTAGTTCAGCAAGAACGTATGGGAAGCATCAAAATAAATACCAGTGTTGGTAGCGGTTTGTTGTTGCCAGTTTCAATAGGAGTGTAACTCCCTGCGCTAATTAACTGAAATTTTCTGACATTTCCCCAAAATTAACTGAAATTCCCGCAGGTACATATCTAGGTGGTAACAGGCTCCTCTGGAGTTGGAGCTAAGCTACAAGTGTGTGCATCTTTTCCCCAAAATGGTCCTCGCCCTGTTTCTGCTGGCACTTGGTGTGTCCCTGGGCTGGGCAGGGTGCAACAGCCGTAGCCATGGTGATGGTAAACACAGCTGGGCCTCCCCCCGCCAGCCCTTGGCTACCTTGGGGAGCTCAGTAATTGGGTATTAATTAACCTGCTGCCTGCAGAAGCGGAGAAGAAGGGGCTGTGGGCGGCGGTGGCCGAGCAGGAGGTGTGTGGTGGTTGGAGGTGCCGAGGTGACAATTCTGTGGGCAGGAGGAGCTGGGCTCCATCCTTGGTGACAGCTGGGCCACCAGAGGAGCCGCCATGGCTACCAGGCAGGCGGTGGGGCTGGAGGGCCACGGCCAGAGCACCGGGACCGGGCCAAGCCCGAAGGCAACCCTCAGCCAGCGTGTCCAGGAGCTGCGCACCATCATCTCCTTGCAAGGTGCTGCCCCTTGGGCTTCATGGGGATGTCCCAGGGTGGGCAGGGGGACTCTTGGTCCCCTCATTGTCCTGCACAGTACTAACGTCACCTTCATGTCCTCCAGAGCAAGGGAGGAAGATTTTCACGCTGTCATGTGAGGAAAAGCTCAATCAGACCAGAGAGCTGCTCCCCCGCCTGCGTGAGGCGGTGCAGGAGGATGTCCATGCCCTGGACCTTGTCCATAAGGTACCACGAGGTGCCATCTGCTGCGCCCCTGCCTGCTGCTGGCCCTGCAGAGCCACCTCCTCCTCCTCTGGGCCTCGCCAGGGCAGCAGTAGGATGTGACCATCCCTGGGCTGGTGGTGACATTTCTCTCTGCCCCTCTCCTGCCTGCAGTTCAGCAAGCCGACCGTGGCCAAGGCTTGTGGAGCCCAGAAGCCCATGGACATCGCCTTGGCCAGGAGGACAGTGGATGTAAGGGCAGGGTCCTGCGGGCACGGGCTGCTCACGTGTTCTGGGGCTCCAGGGACACTAGGGTGCATGGATGAGGGACCTGCTGCAGGCACAAGGACACCGGGCTGGTGTGGCGAGACGTGGGGTGTCACGTGTGGTCCCATGGGTCCCTTTCCACCTCGAGACCCATACGTGCAGGTCCTCCTCCAGCTCCCTCAGCACATGCTTTGCCCCAGCGGATCTCCTGCCTGTCCCATCCTGCGTGTCTCCGGGGCTGCCTGGGTTCCTGCGGGTCCAGCCGCAGCCCTGGGAGAGAGATGGTGTCTCTGCCCTTCACTGCCCGTCCCAAGGTTGTGACCTGGTTAGAATCCCATGGAGACAGAGGAGCTGCCATTGCCTGGGGGCCTCTTGCGGGGACAGAGCGGTGTCACCGCTCTCCGCCGGCGTCCCCATCTGGGGCACTGATCGATGTTATTGACGCCCCGGGTCTGTGTTATGCAGAGTCCCTGAGCATAACCCACCACTGCCATCAGCAGATCCCCACCTCTGCCTTACCCCAAGCCCCGCACAGCGAAGGTCTCCAGACCCCGTCCTGCCAAGGGAGTCACAATGTCCCGGAGGAAATGTCCCAGCCGTTCCTGGGGGGCATCCAAAGCTCTACCTCGGGGGGGAGGAGTTTTCTAGGAAGGACCCCCTTCTCCCACGGGTGCCCAGCAAGCCCTGCCTCCAGCCTGGCGAATTCTCATGTCCCCATCCAGGTGGCCCAGGAGAGGCTCCGGGCCAAAATCTACGAGCAGGTGAATGTGAGCAACATGCTGCTGTACCAGCTGCAGCAGCGGGGCCAAGCCAGGGACGAGCTGCAGTGGCGGCTGCAGCAGCTGCAGGATGCCCAGATGGAGGACAAGCGCCTGCAGGAACAGATGCAGGTACCCAGAACCCCTTCCCGGGGTGGCAGCACCCATGGGGGACTTCAGTCCGACCCACTGATCCCAAGATTCCCTGGGCTCAGCATGCTAGGTCACCCCATGTCCCCCCATCCCCTCCCTGCCCCAGGTGATCCGCCAGCTGGAGAACAACATTGACAAGATGCTCACCAAAATCCATGCTGGCCAGAGGGTGACCACCCAGTACCTGGCGGTGCAGGATGTCCTGAGGAAGGTGAGCTCCTCCTCACTGTGCCACTGTCCCACCCACTCCCCCTGCAAAGGCAATGAGGTGCCCCAGGAGCTGTGCTGGTGGGATACCCTCCTGCCTCAGCGAGGTCCTCCTGCTCCCCACCATCCCCTGTCACAGCGCGCAGGTGGTGGGGTGACACGCTCTGGCTCCCTGTGTCCCAGGAGCTGGCCCACCTGCCTATGCACCTGGACCTCTTGTATGGGATGGCCGAGCGGTACCATTGGGAGCTGGAAGACATAGAGCTCATCGCCTTGAATGCCCTCAAAGCTGCTGATGTAACCAAGGTGAGAAGGTCTGGGCCACTTGAGGCCCTCTCCCACCCTCCGGAGCCCACAGCCAGCACCACTTGCCCAGTCTGGTGAGTCTTCCTGCAACAAAGATCAAAAGAGACTGAGCTTGCCCACCAGCACCTAGATGCCTCCATAGCTCCTCCTGCATTTTGCTCTTTGGTCTGGTGGCCTGGGGACAGCCTGCCTGAAGCACCAGCCATGGTGAAGGCAGCATGCTCCATCCTCCAGCCCTCCTTGCCCAGTTTCCTTCCCAGCCTGTTTACATGGTGATGGGGGGGTCATTTTTGATGGTGGCCCAGAAGCTCAGCAGGCTCACAAAGGTCCATCCTGGCTTTGGCAACTGCTTCTCCCTTCTCTGATGTGCTCCAGGAGGAAATGACTCAGATGAAAACCCGGTTCCGTGAGGAGAGAAAGCTCCGGTCCCGCTCCCTGGCTGCCCAGAACGTGCCCGTCGACAGACTCTGGCGGAAGGAAGCAAGTGAAAAGCACCTGAGGGCGGTGAGCGGGGGGTCCTGGGGCAGGCAGGGCTGGGGGCAGAGGGCAGGCATTGGTGTCAAGCCCCCCAGGGGTGGGGGGGCTGCAGGGCCAGCTCCCCTAGGGTGTCACCAGCTCGAGAGGTGACTATGAACTTCCTTGCAGCAAGCCCGCTATGAGCTCGCCATGGACTTGCAGGACCAGACGAAGGGTGAGTGCCTGGCAGGGTGCAGGGGGGTGGGACACAGGCACAGCCACAGACATCCTGCCCTGCCGTTTCCCTCCCACCCTAGACACCAAACAGATGGCCACCAAGTCCCAGATGGAACGTGAGGCCTGGGTGACCGAGAAGATGGAGAAGGCCAAGGCTGCGGTGCAGTGCTCCTGTCTCTGGGTAATGTAAAGACCCATCTCTGGTAGAGCCCTGGGCTGCTCGAGTCTCAGGGGACCAAGACCTTTCTGCTCACCTTGTTTCATTGCGGGCTCGTCTGCTCTCCTCTGCCCCTGGAGCCCCCCAAGGGCCCTCTCGTGCGGGCAGGGATGGAGCTGCTTTTCTCCATGCCATGAGCTTGCAGTGGTCCGTGGTTCAGAAACCTCCCTGGGGCCATGGCCCAGACCCTGTACCCTTCAGGAGCACTGTGGGCTGAGTCCTCATGCTCTCCCCCGACCAGGACATCCCCAGCAGGCTCCTGGAGCAGCAGAAGTCCTCGGTGGAGCGGGAGCAGTATGTCAATGAGCGCAAGGAGAAGAAGCAGGCACTGAAGGAGACGCTCAAGGAGCTGGAGCTGAAGCAGGCTGAGCTGAAGTTTCGCCAGCCCCCCAACAAAAACAGGTGCTGCTGGGCTTGGGACAGCTGTGTCAACTGGGCCACCAGCCTTGGGTGGGAGACACGTATCACGGGTGTCCCAACAGGACCACCCCTTCATCCCACTGCAGCCACCAGGAAGATTTCTGAGCAGGGTGCTCCTGCATCTCTGGTCCTGGGAGACCACCTAAAACTCCTGCAGTGGGAGCAGGAGGACCCTTGCTCCTTGTCTGGTGTGGGAAGTGGTACCCGCATGGAGTTGGGTTCAGGCAGCATTGCTGCTCTGCAGTCAGTGGGGGGGGGGCAGGGTGCAACCTGAGCAGGTTTTGCAACAGATTTGGGGTGTCTCTGCACCTCTGTGCGGTCGTGTGGATGTCAGTGTGGTTGGCTCCAGGGTGCTGGAGGAGGAGCTGAGGATGAACCTCCAGTTGGAAGAGGCTCGGCTGGAGCAGATGCGAGCCCAGATTCTGAGGAACCAGGAGCTCCTGGTCGACTTTGAAAATGGCATTGACCACCTCTTCGTCCGTCTGCAAGGCATCACCGTCCCCGACCAGGTACCCGCGTGGCTCTGGGGTGAGCGCAGCCCCAGATGGTGCTTGGTGGTGCAACGGCACAGGGCAGTGACATTTGGTGCATCCACCATCACCCCAAGTGGCTCATTTTCGCCACCAAGGCTGTTCTTCTCTCCCTAATTCCAGGACGATTCTGTCAAGGCCAGAGGGGTGGAGGAGAAGCTCCAGCACTGTGAGAAGAAGCTGCAGTACCTGTTGCAGCGGGTGGCCGACTTGCCCCCCGACAGCCACAGCCCTGATGAGAGCAACAAGGTGCATGGGGGCTCCATCCCTCCTGTGGTCTTTGGGGACCCACACAGGGCTCTCCTGGATGGTCCATCCCAAGACATCCTCCCAGATGGGAGGATGGAGATGGCCCCAGGGAAGAGCAATGGAGCAGCTCAGCCCCACGGCACTGCAGGGTGTCCCTCCCCAGGGGGACATCAAGATGGGACACTCCTTGGGTTGTAATACCTATCTCCCCTTCAGCAGTTAACCCAGGGTGTCTTTCACAGACTTTTGTGAAGGTCAGGAATTTTCTGGAGAAGACAACTGCGAATGATCCAAAGAACCTGAGGATTTCCTTGGATGACATAGGCAGTAGCATCCAAGGTAGGAGAGCACAGCAGGGATGTGTCCCACAGCGACTGTTCCATTCCCTGACCCCTGGGATTTTCGGGGGTTCCTTGGCTGTCTTCTACTGCCCCAGCAGCCCCTAGCCCATGAGTTGTCTCCAGACCTTGGGGCTGACCTTGGCTGTCTCCAAGGCTTTGAGTGTGGTTTTAGGTAGGGACATGGGAGAACGAAGCTAAACAGTGGGGTGGTGAGTATCAAAGCGCAGCAGAAGAGATGTTGTGGGGCAAGAGGGACATACTCATCTTTAAAATCACTCAGTTGTGAAGAAGAACCAGTGCTTGGTCTGTGGCCTCCTCCTATTGGATGCTCTTGGAGGAAACACTGAGGTTTTGGCAGTTTACCACCTTTCTTTAATGAAGTGAGAGCTGTGCCCACCACCCCATGGCTCCACACATTTATAGGAAGCTCCAGCAGTGTTGGAGATGCATGTCAGGGCAGTGACATTGCCAGGCCCAGCAGGTCACCCTGGGGTGCTGGGCTGGAAGACCCAGCCAGTAGTGCCTATGCTGGGGTGCTTGGCACGAGAACTCACCATGATGCCACCAGCCCTCCAACACGTGCTGGTTCTCCCTGGGGACACAGGCACAGTGGAGGTGGCCGCACAGCCTCTCCTCAGCCCACTCCTCTCCTCTCTCTCCTCCAGACCCCTTTGATTTTGATGACAAAGACAATGACCTTGTCCTCACCCGGGAAGACATCAAGAAGCAGGGGCTGTACCTGATCGAAAGCAAGAAGAAACGTGGCAAGAAGAAGTAGAGGTCATTCCACAAGAGCTTTGGGTGCCCCAGACCATCTGTTGTGCTTTGGATGCCCCAGACCACACCTTGTACCCTTTGCAGATTTAATAGAGCAGATCTTTTTCATCCCTCCCAAGCCTGTGGTTAAAGCTGGAACTGGGGGTCCTAGATCACATCTGCCATCCAGGACACACGGGGGACAAACCCTGAGGGTCCTGAGCTGGGTTTGGGAGCAGCCCCATCCCCACGCCTTGTACCCCTGCCCCTCACCCAGCTTCTCTCCCCACAGAGGTGGGGATCAGCTGGGGTGGAGACAGCTTTTCCTGGCCAGAGCAAAGCTGGGGGCAGGTTGACTTTCTCCCCTTTGGTCCTGTGGGGCCACCACCTTCCTGGGACCTTCCCTGAGACAGCTCTGGACTCCAAGGGGCTTTTCTGAGGTGGCTGTGGGGAAATGTGGGGCAGGGACTGAGATCTGTATGGGGATTGGACCTCAGGGTGGGTGTCTTCATGTCTGTGTGTGGGAGTGGAAGGGCAGACCCTGCCTTGGAATGGGAGACCCAAATGTGAGATGCAGCTGGGGGCCTGGTGCCTGGGCCTGTCTGACCTGTCTGTGGTCCCTCCATGCCTCTTCCCTCCCCTGGTCCCTGCACACACATTGTGCAACTTGTGCTTATAACCCTAAACGCAGAGCAACTGTCAGGCACTGCCTTTGGGCCCCAGGGTCTAACCCAACGTGACCTAGGACAGCGAAGGGTGCTACACCAAGCTTGCGACTTGGGGACGGGTCATGGCCATCCAACCATGGGTGTCACATTGTCTTCTCTAGGAAGACACTCATAAAACAGGGCTGCAAATAGATGGTGCTGTTTCCCCAAGTAGAGCCAACACTGAAGGCTGCTGCCAGGGACCTGTGGTCCTGGCTGGAGACCCAGGAGAGTCCCACCTCATCCATGTCTGCAGGGGGACATCAGCATCATACCAGGTTTTAATTGTCATTTCTTCTTGGTCCCTGTACTTCATGCTGACATCACTTGTGACATCACCCTTGCAGGGAAGGAATGGCTGCTTCTGCCAAGCCTCCCAGCAGACTGGCAGGTCACACCAAATGGCCTTGGTGGGTTTTGTGAGACTACAGAGTTGGGGAACATATTGCCAAAATAACAGTGCAACTCGTGTCTTTGAAAGGAAGCTCCAGAAATAGTGTAATGTGCCAGTGAAGTCACCTGGTGGAGCTTCCCACAATCAATTACATCCACTCATCTCCCATCCTGTTCTTGTGTGCCCACCACAGCCAGGGTGTGGGCTGGGGTCTGGGCCAGGGAGTCCTCTGCTGGCCAGGAGCCACCCAGCCCTGGGAGCAGAAATCTGAAAACACTCTTCAAACCAAGGGGACAAGTGGACGGGGTGTGTGGATGGTGCTGGGCCACTGACACTGTCCTCGCTCAACACACCCAGTGTTTGAAGAAACAGCCAGGCCACGTTGAGTGGGCTGTACTCAAAAAGGTGACACTGAGGAGGAAATTACCTGCACACCATGACATAAGGTGACTCTGACCACCCTTCTTTCTGACTTGAGCAGAACACATCCCTGCTTCGGGTGCAGAGAGCCACCAGGCTGACGTGGAGATTGATGCACCCCAGGCTCTTGGTGACCTCCTGGGGCAACGCAGTTGCAAGGATGGCAGCGTTGACCAGAAATCATGGAAAATCTGCCCATCCTTTTGTACAAACCAGCCCCTCCCTCTCAAGGCTGTTTACAGCTGCTGCCAGAACAGTTTTGCCTACAACGAGGCTGTAGGGCCCACCATGAACTGGTGCTCGCCTCTACAAGGTCTGGTGTAGCAGAACTATGGAGGATCAATTTTTGTCTCAATTGGCTTAGCTGCAGCAGCTCCAGGACATGTCACTTAGACAGCAGCCACCACACCACTGAGTAAATACGAATGGTTTGAAGCCAGCTGATAAAAGAGAGATTCTAGCTTTAAACACCTAACTACATTTGAGGTGGTTTCCTCTTGTAATGTCCTCAGGACCTTCTGAAGGGGTGTCCCTCCTCTCTTGGTGACACGGAACCAAGTGTACACCCCAAGGGGTAAGGGGTAGTCAAGGTTTTCATCTCTCCCCTTACCAAGAATGCTGACCTGAGCAGAGATGACCCTGCAAATATCTGCCAAAGTCTCAGGTAGCTGAGAAACCCACCTCTCAGCAGTGACATCACCAAATCCAACATCCAGCGTCTCTTGGGCAGCAACTGAGAATGTCTCATTTCCAGGTATTCTGACAGCCTGAAGGCCGAGGAGAAGAGAAGGAGCAAATAAATGAGTGTTTTGAGGCTGGTAGAAATGAAGGATGACTTTTTAGAGCATAGTGGTGGTGCTTTGTCCCTCATGCCCTGACATACAGAGGAGCAAGAAGAGACACCAGAAAGCTTCAGGGAACACCTCCATATGCTGAGATGTCTTCTCTCCTTCCCCTTCAGCCTCTAAAAGGTATTTGGTGAAGAACAGAGCCAACATCCCTCAGCTAGACCAAGGGGTTTCCATCATTTGGGATAAACCTTGAAAAAATAGTTTCCAGGTCTTGATCTGGTCTTTCCGCTTTGGCTCTGGGGAATAGAGAAGCCACAAAATGTGTTGAAGACTTCTCTCCTCTGGAGATGGAGTTTATTTTTCAATCTCAGTTTGTAGAAAATCCAGTCTGTGGTCCATTTGCCACCTACAAGGTAATTCTGGGATGTTTTAGAGTTGTAGAATAATAGAATCATCTAAGTTGGAAGGGACCTGTAAGATTACCACTTGTCACCAGCCGCCAACTGGATTTAGCTGCCTTGAAAGGAGGGGAAGAGTAACAGCACGCGATGCCATGGTGGTTTCAGGTCTACTGGAGCTACAAAGGCTGCCTGATTCATCATGAGCATTCGCTGAATGCATTCAGACACAGCATCCCAAATCCCCGTCACATCTACAAGGCGAGGAGAAGACGTGTCACCCCGTGGCTCACACCAGGCAGCGTGCTCCCGGCCAGGCCAACGATGCCGGGGGCAATCGGAGTGACTGCTGCTGCCTTGCCCGCACCCAGGAGAAATGGAAATGTGGGAATGGATGTGACAAGTGGCGAAGAACTACAAGAGTGGGAAGAAACCAGAGGCAGCACCTTGGCTTCTGGATTTTAAACAAACCACTCAACCATGTGTGCCCCAGGAGGGAAGCGACAGGGTTCAGAGCAGCACCAGGGTGTCCTCCTGCCAAAGTGACCCCTGAGCCACATGGGACCTCCCTGCCCAGGCCACCCTGCCTGCAATGGGCAGGGGAACAGCATGGGGCATCGTAGGGAACAGCCCCCATCCCCATGCCCAGGAGAGGCATGCAGTGGGGTCCCCAAGCTGGGTCTCAGCCCATGTGCACATCCCCAAATGCTGGGGAAAGAAGTGGGGTTGCATGGGACTCTCCAATATGGGAAAATAAAATGAATAATATAAGGAATAAATGAATAAATACAGGGGAGGGAAGGAAGGGCTGGTGACAGTTGGGGTTTCATAGAATCAAAGAATTGTTTTTGTTGGAAGGGACCCTTCAGATCAACGAGTCCAACCATCAACCCAACACCGACAAACCCACCACTAACCCATGTCCCTCAGCACCACGTCTGCCCAGCTTTTAAATACCTCCAGGGATGGTGACTCCACCACTGCCCTGGGCAGTTTCTTCCAAGGCTTGACAACCCTTTCCATGAAGAAATTTTTCCTAATATGCATCCTAAACCTCCCCTGGTGCAGCTTGAGGCCGTTTCCTCTTGTCCCATCTCCTGTTCCTTGGGAGAAGAGACCTGCTCCAGCCCCTTGATGTCCCTCCTGTCATGAGGGGAAAGGCCATTTCATTAGGGGCAGGCATGGGGTGGCACAGCCCAGTGAAGGAAGGGAGATATTTCCTCTTCAGCCCTGAGAAACCCTTATTTCCTTCCACCACAATCACTGCCGAAGGCTCGACAGGAGCTCCAGCACAGATGTCTGCAGCCGGTGCCGGCACTGGTGAGAAACCTAAAATAGGGCAGCGGAGAATTCACATTGGAGCATTTGCTGCGCGGAAATATCTCTGTCCTGAAAAGGCTGGGTTTGAGTGGGTTTGGGTGTTGGATTTGGTTTTTTTTTATATTTAAAGATATGATCAAAATAACATGGAAAGGAGCACAACGAAAGGCAGGCGCAAGATGGGACTGTCACCTGAGCCTCGGTACTGCGTTTTATCCTCTGGAGACAACGGGGACCAGGCTAAATCAGCCAGTTTGGGGCCAAAACAAGAGGGTCTGTTGGCTGTTCTGGGAAGGGAGATGCCAGCAGGGCCCCCAGTGCACGGGTCCATCTTGGAGCGCTGGGAGCTGCAAGGGTGGGATGCAGGAGGGGGCAGGTTCATGCATCCCAACCGTTGGAGCAAGAGCTGCTTCCCCACCAGGACGCACAAACATTTTGCACCTCTATATTGATTTTAAGAGGGTTAATGTTTGTGGTGGTGGGTTTTGGCCCAATCAACAGCCTCTTTTGGTGTCACTGGCCAGAGGTGGGTTTCAGCATCTTTGTAAAATGAAGGAGGGAGCAAGGAGGGACTGAGGCAGTGCTGCTCAAGGAGAGAAGGATGCCACAGGGGTAGTTTTCTGCCCCAGCTCTGACCCACGGCAAGAGAAGAAGTTGCAGCAGGTGGTGGATGGGGCTGGCAGTTCCCACCAGGCAGCTTTTCTCCACAGCAGAGGTGTCCTAGCTGTTGGACCATGTTGGTGGCCTCCTGTAGAGGGGCTCTACCGGATCCATGTCTGTCTTGTGCTGGGGACACTGGAGATGGAGGCAGTGCTCCAGGGGAGTGTGACGGGATGTGGCGGTGTGCTCTCCCTGGTTTGTCCCCCCACCCCCTCTCCGCTCCTGCCCGGCCTTGGCCACCACGGCCATCACAACAGCAGCTGTGAGAACTTGCACCCGGTCTCTGGGGGATGGCTGGCAGCAGAGTCAAAATACTGTCTGGAGTGGGGACCTAGAAATTTTGTTGCCATGAAAATATGACTATAGGTCAATTATCTTACTGTATAAATAGTGGACAGCCCAAGAGCCCTTGGAGCTCTCCTGTATGGCAGTGGCTGCACGCCAGGATCTCCCCTTTGGTGAGGACACTCACTGAAGGTTCTACTCCTCGAGGTTGAGCGATTCCTTGCCACAACAGATTCTCAGTAAGTGACTAATAGCACGCTAAACTTTGAAATTTTATCTAAGTAATGTAAAGGATTGATTGTGCATATATAATCCTTTAGACATAAACCGTTGACCAAGTCTGGGACTAGGATTGGATCCAGCCACACCAGACTCCTCTCTGAGAAGGAGTTTAGAAAGCCAGGGGGTCCTTTCTGAACCTGTGACTCAACGGGAGGGTCTCCCTGACAGCCTGTCTGACCCTGTCCTCTGTGCAGTAAATAACAGAGTGTACCCTGACATCGAATCTCGTAAAACACTATCACATTTACTACCGGTTTTATCACACTACTGGTTTTGTTAAATCACTGTTTCACCTTAATAAATATTTCACTGCTTCACTCTAACTAGTGAAGTTAATCACTCCGTCCGTGACATGGGAGTGTCCCCCTCCCTCGCCATGCTGGCCACACTGCTGGAAATGGGGCCCAGGAGATGGTTGGCATTCTGGGCTGCAAGCGCACATTGCTGGCTTGTACCCACCACTATCCCCCAGTCCTTCTCCACAAGGCTGCTCTCCATCCACCCATCTGGGGAAGCCCTTTGAAATTCTTCAGCCACTTTAGCAGAGAAAAATAGTAGAACCATACACTCGACAGGGTTTCACCATCCACACGGGGATGAAGGATGGTGTGGGGACGGCACAGCTCTCACTCAGGAGCTCCCTGGCTCTGACACCGGTGTCTGTTTGGGGAGATACTGATGGGAGACATTCGACTGTCTGTGATTCGGGTCCTCTGAAGAACCTGAGCAAGGAGGAGAGAGACTGCCAAAACCTCCACGCTGACCCTGCTTTGGGAAGGAGGCAGCCGGTGCTTGTTCCAGCCCGGCCGTGACATGGGCAACCAGAAGTTCTGCTGAAAGCAGAGCCCCTTTCCGGGCTTCTTTCCCTGTAAGACTGTGGGGCAGGGTCCTATTTGTGGGGAACATGGTGGGCAAAGCCTGCCCGAGCTCTTCCTGCCCTCACAGGTGGCTCTGCTGCACCGGGAGAGGAGAAAGGGGCAGAGGGGGCTGGATGGCCCGGGAGGGACTTGGAGCAGAGCAGAATGGGTGGCATGGAAACCCAGAGGAGGTTATGGTGGCAGCAAGTAGAGGGGCCAGGAGGGGATCCAGGTGTGTATGGGGAGGGGTATTGGAGGGTTCAGGGGGTGTCACACGGGACACAAGTGAGCATGGAAGGGATCAGAGCTGAGCTGAAGGTGTTTGGTTGGGGGTAGAAGTGCTGGAGCACGGGACAGGATCCAAGCCCTGCAGAGGGGACTGGGCTGGCTGGGGTACAGGGGCAAAAAGGGATGGGGGGGAACCTAGGGGCACCCAGGGAGGGGCGTGATGTGGGGTGAGTGCCAGCAGAGGGGAGCACGGGATCTGGTGATATTCAGGGTCAGTGGAAGGAGGATGTGCAGGGAAAGAGGGACGGGGAGAACCTACAGTGCCACAGAGGGGGGACACAGGGGACTGGGGGTACCCCCAGGGTGGGGGAAGGCTGGTTTTCCAGCCCCCTCACCACCTGCAGGTTCCCTGCCCGTGTGGTGACCAGCAATGAGGACAGGGTGCTCTGCACAGAGGGGACAAGCTGGGAGCTGCAGGTGGCCCTGACACCCATGGTCCCAGGGCAGCAAGCAGGGCTGTGGTGGCAGCAGGTCCCCCCACAGCTCCAGTGACCTTCAGATGGAAGTAAAACACCATCTAAGGGGAAATCCCATAAGTGAGGGGGCTGCAGAGAACAGGGCTGGGCCAAAAACACCCACTGCACAGGAGCTGGGTGCTGCTGCTGCGCCTAAATGGGGGGTCAAAGGTGTGGGTGGGGGGCGATGAGGATGCTCAGGGTGATTAAGGCATCAGGGGCAGAGATGTCCATAGGACGGAAGGGGATGGGGATGGATTGATCCATGGATGGAGGGAGAGAAGGGGGAAGGGAGGAATAGATGCATGGATGGATGGATGGATGGATGTGATGGATGTGATGGAGGGTTCTGAAGGCTTGGGAGTACCTGGGGATATGTTTCCCCAGCACCCCACATGCCAGCCCCCCCGCAAGAGGACAGGTACAGCCCTGTACCATGCACATGATGGCTGCTGCTGGATGTCATAAAAAGGGACCCAGACATGTTGCCCTGGATCGGGGCCAAGCCTGCAGGAGTGTGGGTGCTCCCCCAAACTGCTGTGCACCCCCCACTCACTGCCAGCCACAGCGGGGCTGGGATCTGCTGGGTCACAGTGGGGTTTGGGGGGGGCTGTTGGGGACCCTGTGCGGAGCTGGATCAGCCCAACGACACTGTGGGGAGGAGAGTGGAGAGCAGGGGGGGAGAGTGGGGTGCAGGAGAAGAGAATGGGGTGCAGGGGAGGATAGCAGGGGAATAGCAGGGTGTAGGGAAGAGTATAGCAGGTTGCAGGGGGATAGCAGGGTGCAGGATAGTGGGGTGCAGGAGAGGAGGGCAGGTTGCAGGGGGGGGCAGAAGGGTGCAGGTGGGACAGGAGGAGGCAGCAGGGCTGATTGCAGGGCACAGGGACAGGGGGGTGCAGGGGGGGACAGTGCCCACTGGAAGGCAGGTAGAGACACAGCTCTCACCCATCCCGGTGCTCTCTGCCCACCACTCCTTCCCCTTCACCCCGCCAGCTCCAGGTGGAGCCAAGCTGGTGTAACTGGGCATTGGTAGTCATAGGGGGGGCCCAGCCACGCCAAGGGCCTGCACTCTCTCCCAGCAGGGCTCACCCCACCGTGGGGGGTGTGAGGATGCCTGGGGGAAGCACATGGAAGGCAATTCTGTCCCCTGGCTTGGGCTCCCCGCTCTGCTCCCCCCCAGTTCCCATCCCAGACCCAACACCAGCAGCACCTGGGGACCATGGCACCCCAAGGCAACAGGCAAGGGGGGCAGGAGGCAGCAGCAGACGGGGGAGACCTGCTCCTTGTGTGTCCCCTCAGCCCCAGAGCTGGGTGCCACCCCATGCTGGGTGCAGCACAAATCCCCCAATATCCACTTTGAGCCTTTGCCAGGGAAATGGGAGCCAGGAACAGGAGGCCACAGGGTCGGCCACCATCAGCCCCCATTGTCACCTGCCCGGGGACACAGGGACCCACCGCCCGCGCGGAAGCGACTCAGGGTTGCAGACAAGCCGGGTCAGCCGTATTTATTGAGAACGGTTGTGGAGGGATAAAAATATTTCCACTAGCTCTATAAGAATTTATAAACCTATACTCTGCTTATCCTTTAATAAATGCCTCTATGACCATCATGCGAAGGTAAGTACTTCTGTAAGAAAATAGCAAGATTAAAAAAAGGAAAGCGCTAATACACCCTGCGGGGCCCTGCCCAGGGGGGTCCCTGCCCGCGGGGGCCAAGGGACCCTGTGGCTGGCACAGGGACATGGGTGGTACGTGCTGGAGCCGCCCCAGGACCCCACAGCACCCACCCTGAGCCTTGGCTGGACACAGCTCCCCATCAGCCAAGCCTCCTGGATGCAAACCTCTCACCCAGGGGTGAACCCCCACCGCTCACCCCACCCCTCAGGTGGCCCTGCCCAGGAGGGGACATGTCCCCATGCCAGCGAGCTCCCCGTGATCCCACTGCCCCCAGTTCTGCCTCCACCCTGCAGCCTCACCATCCCCTTTGTGTTTCCTAGTCCCTGGGGGGAGCAGGGGGTTGGGGGGGGTTGGGGCCATCTCCCCAGGGATGCCCTGTGGCTGCTGGCTGGGAGGTGTGGGCCAGGGCTCGCCTTGGGGACACACAGCGGTGCTTTGCTGGGGAGCAACACGGATGGGGACATCCTAGGAGGGACACAGGGACACAACACAGTGCTCTGCAGGGCAGCCACACGGATGGGGACATCCTGGGGGCAGGCAGGGACACGACATAGTACTCTGTGGGAAAGCAACAGGGATGGGGACAGCCTGGGGGGGGACAGGCTGCAGCGCTCTGCAGGGCAGCAACACCTGGGGACAGCATGGGGAACACGGGGACACACAGCAGCGCTTTGCTGGGAAGCCACACGGATGGCGACATCCTTGGGGGGACACACAGTGATGCTCCAGCCAGAAGCAGCAGGGACAGGGACATCCTGGGACACGCAGGGACACCACAGACAAGCAAGTGGTGTCAGGGGCCGAAACACCAGCCGGGGACGATGCTGCTGCCGCGGGTGGGGAGGCACCGCGGGCACAGGACAGTCATTATTGCTTCACAGGGCCCACATCAAGGGGAGGCCAGGCTGGGGACCCACCCTCTGATTTAGGGTTCAAGGGACTTTCTGTGAGGACAGTGATTCCCCACTGTTCCTCCTGCCATGGCCACCCCCACCACCCAGGGACACAGGGTGCTTCCAAGGGGTGACACTTGGTGGGGACAGGGACCCTGCCGAGGACACAGGGCTGGACATCCCCAGCTTCAGTCCCTCCTCCCACCAGTGCTGTCGCGAAGGTGGCCAAGGGTCCGGGTGCTGGCTGCCACCCCGGCTGGGACACTGGCTGCCCCTCCATCCCCTTGGTCACCTGTGGTCCCCAGGAGCTGCTGTCCCTCCATGCCAACCAGGTCCAGGGGGAGCGACCCTGTCCCCCACATCAGGGCAGCTGGGGCTTTGGGGGGGCTGGGACTGGACCCCCCCTTTCCTCTTCCCTTAAGCAAGGGCCACGCTGAGTGTAAAGGCTGTAAGCAGGCAGCTCGAGGTGACACGGGGACAAGGGACACGATGTGGAGAGCTGGCTGGTGGCCCTCCCCAGAGCTGCAGGGGAAACAGAGAAAGCCAAAGCTCGGGGGACAAAGCTGTTCCCAGCCCGGGGTGGGGGGCTGGGGAGGCATCCAGCCAGGACAGGGTGCAGGGGACCCCAGTGCCCTGTCCCCTGCCTGTCCCCGTGTGACAGGCGCTGGCAGTTGGATAAGGCGATACCACAGCAGCTCAAGGTGGCGGGTACGGTGTGGGTACCGAGTCTGGCAGCGGGGCTGGGGCAGGATGGAGAGTGATGTAAACATTTCTGATCTGGGGGGGGGGCAGGAGGAGGAGGAGGAGGAGGAAGGGGTGCTAGTGCGAGTCCTTCATCTGCTTCTGGATCTTCTGGAGCATCTCCTGCATCCGCCGCAGCTGGAAGGGAGCAGAGCAGGGACCATGGAGAGGGGGAGGGGGCGGGGGCTGGCACCCCCCAGCCACACCAGCTCCCTCGCCAATGTATCTGGGACAAGCATCCCAAGCAGACTGGGATCACCGAGAGCTGTGGGGGGGTGGTGGGGACCCCTCTGCTACCCCTCCAACACCTCCTCACCCTGGCCTGAGGAGCAGCAGCCTCTGGGATGGCGCAGGAAGGGTGTTGAGCCAGCCCTGGGGCTGGGGACGTTGTGGAGGTTTGGGGGTGGGGGATAATGGAGGGGGGGCTCAGCCCTCCCCCACACTCACCTCCTCGTCCTTCTCCCGGATGAGCTTCTCCGTCTCCGCATCCGGCACCGGGGGGATGACAGGGATGGGGAAATCCGTCCCGCTCTCCCGGGTCAGCTTGCTGCGGGCAGAGAGAGGAGGTGAGGACACTGTCACAGCCCTGGTGCCCCCCCTTCCCCACCCCCACGGCGGGGGGGACAGTTTCCCCCCAGGCGCTGCAGCCCCCGAGACCCCAAACCTTACAGGTACCCAGCACCCACTGGCACAGACCCTGAGCCACCGTCACCCTGGGCCTTTTTCCAGGCAGGGGGCACATGAGTAGCTCCAAGTATCCCCCCAAACTTCAAGACCCCCCCTCCACATGCCATGCACCACTTTGGGGCCAGCAACACCACACCAAGGGATGCCCCAGGGCACAGAGCCCCACTTGGCCTTCTCCACGCTCTCCCATTTTGGGAAGCATCCTGCTGGGTGCTTCGAGAAGCGACTCCCCTGCATCGTGCCCCCCGCCCAAGTGCAATATTTTCTCTGCTGCTTTAAAACATCTTAAACTCAGCATCTCCCTTCTCTCCCACAGCCCCAGCCCCACTGCAGGTTGGGGTCCCCGGGCACCCCACTGCTGGCCAGCCCCAGGGATGCTCCGCACCCCTTTTCCCCAGCACCAGCTCCCATCCCAGCCCATCCCTGCTGGAGGGAGCCATGGGCATCCCCCCCCGGGGCCACCCCACCACGCAGATACACAGCCACCACAATTGATGGCTTCTCCCATGCCCACGGCAACAGGGAGGGACCAGCTCTCCCGACTGGGTCCCTGCGGATGCCACGTGCCACCCCAGCGGGTGACGGCATGTTTGGGACACCACCACTGTGGCTGGCAGGAGTCACGCGTGCCACCATGTGCCACCGCAACGTGCCACCACCGGTGCAGCCCCTCCGCATGAAAAGGGGTGATGGACACTACGGATGTTGCATAGGGGGGCTGGGACACCCCTGCCCTGCAGGGTCCCCTTGTGCCGGGGGGGAGGCTGTGCCAGCCGTGCTGTAGCAAAGGAGGGGTTTTGGCCATGTTTTGAGCTGTTTTGGAAGTCACTGCCCGTTGTCACGGCTCCTCGCCGTGGGGGGACACAGGGGAGAGCACATCGAGCTCCTTCCATCCCTGGCAGCAAGACAAGGCTCGAGCCGGGCACTGGCACTGGGGCAAGCAGCTTCACTAGCCCAGGAAAGACTGTCTATCGCTGCCTTCTGCACCCCAAAATTACATCCCCCTGGGAGGGCAGTTGGGTGGGGAGTTCCTGCCCTGCTTCCCTTCCCTTGGGCAGCCCTTGGCTGGGAAAAGCTAGGTGCCACCAGATGGTGACACGTCCCCCCCAACCCCACCTTGCCTGGGAGAGCTGGGGTGATGCCACCGGCGTCCTCACGGCATCACCAGTGGTGGTGGCACCCCAAAAGGGCAAACTGTGTGGGCGACGGGTGGGTGGCCACAGGGCCGTCTCTCCCCTGGAGCATCTGCCCGGCCCTTGCACGGGCACAGAAGGACCGAGACAGGGTTGGATACCAGCAAGTACTTTATAGAGGGGTGAGGGGCAGGGGGAGGAGGACGGCGGGGGCCAAGCAGGGCCCCGGCCAGATCCCGGCTCAGTCGGCGGAGCAGTCGGCGCAGCACAGCCTCAGCGCGGTGGGATGCCGCCTTCTCCGGGGGCACGTATGGAGAGACCAGCTTAGAGCCTATGGCCACTGCCAGCCCCCCCACTGCTCCTTTGATACCCCCCCAGCCTCTCCAGCCCCCTGGATGGAGGGTACCACCAGGGACCCTGCTGTGTTCCCCCCAGGATCTTTAGGGGGGCTAAAGGGGATGCAGGTGCCATGAATCCAGCCGGTACCGGCAGCAGAGCCCCAGCACCAGCTGCTCACTTGGCTCCTGCTCCAGCCCCGCAGCCTGCAGGGACACAGGGTCCTTCTCACTGTCCCCCCACCCCAAGCCCTGGGGGGACAGAGGGTCCCCCTCACTGATGGGCCAATACCCCCACCAAGCCAACCCCCAGCCCTGAGGGGATGCAAGGTCCTCCCACCATTGCCAGTGTACCCCCCCATAATCCAGCCCTGGGGGGACGCAGGGTCCCTCTCACTGCTGGAGCAGCCCCCCCCAGCCATCCCCAGCCCCGGGGAGATACAAGGTCCCCCCACCATTGCTGTGCACCCCCCACCCAGGCCTGGGGAGAACACAGGGTCCTCCTTGCTGCTGGAGCAGCCCCCTGCCCCCCAGTCAGCCCCAGCCCAATGGCCCAGGAATGGCCTCCCACCACACTGGGGCTCCCCACCATCCCACCAAGGCTTCCATCTCCATCCCCACACTGCCCAGCTCCACCCTCACACAACCCCAACCCCCCCGAGGTCACCGCTTGCTGGGTCACCCCAAAGAGAGGGGACTCCCCCCACCCCCTCCAGCCTGGCACCCCACTCCCAGCCCCGTACTTGCGGTTCCTCTCCTTCACCACCATGCGGGTCATGCTCTGGATGCACTGCGTGCGGTAGTTCTCGTAGTGGGTTTCCCGCGTCACGTCCTTGAGGTCCTGCATGTGGGTCCTCACCAGCATCGTCCGCAGCTTCACGAAGTCGCAGTGGGATGGGTTCTCCACTGTGGGGGAGCCCAGGGTCAGGGGGACACAGCCAGCCCCTCCACATCACCCAGCCCCCCCCCAAGGCTGCACAGCATGAAGATGGGCTATACAATGTCCCCATGTCCCCAGAGCTGGTGGGACACCGGGGACATGGGCCAGTGTTACCTTCCACAATGCCCCAGGGGTAGAGGCGCCCACGGACACGCCGGCCTTTGGCCTCCACGACTGTGTTGCTGCCGATGACGGCGAAGGGGATGCTCTCCTGCAGGAAGAGAGCAGGGATTAACAGGGCTCGGTTGTGTCCACCATGGCATCTCCTTGGCCATATCCAGCACCCACTTGCCAACATATCCCAGGGCCCCAGCTATGGACAGCCCCAGGTGGGATGGCAGTGGCCATGGCATGGGTTTCTCCACCCCAGCTCCATTCCACCAAGGTGCAGGTGGCACCTGCAGGGTCTTGGTGACACATCTGGGCAGCACAATATGTACCAACCCCACCATGCTGGGGCTGCTGGAGGGCTTGTGTGGCCCCCAAAGAGTCCCAAGGGTGCCCTAGCATGACATGTCCTCCTGGCCATGGGACCCTGACCTTCTAAGGATGGAGCCAGACCCACCTTCAGTGCCTGGTCCTGCAGCTTGAACTCCTCATCCTCATCTGAGTCACACTCAGGGAACTGGTAGATGCGGATGCCGTAGTGGTCGATCTCCTCCCGGATCTGGAGGCAGACAGCCCTGCTGAGGGCAGGCCCTTGGAAAGGGGGTGGGAAGTGCCACACAGTACCGGTGTCCCTCAAAGACCCACAAAAGCCTGTCCGTTCCCCCCCAGACTAAATGTCATGGACACCCCTCCAGACCCTTCCAGCCCCCAGCTGAGCACAAGGGTAGATATGTCCTTGGTGGCCATGCGGGTAACATGGCTGTGAGCATGGAGGATGCTCCATGGCAAAGTCCGGGCAGGGGATGGAAAGAGCTCCCAACCGAGTGAGGACCCCATCACCAGGGACCTGCTGGGACAGCTCCAGGCTGGACCAGCCTCCCCTTACCTTGTTCTTCATGCGCTCCACCTCGGCGGGGGTCAGTGTGTCTGCCTTGGCCAGCACAGGCACGATGTTCACCCGCTGGTGCAGGGCTCTCATGAACTCCACGTCCAAGGGCCGGAGCCTGCGGGGGGAGCCCAGTGAGCACCATCCCACCAAGACCCTTCGCCAGCACCCCCCCATCCCAGCAGCGCAGGCAGGGGCTGCCCGTACCCATGGCCAAAGGGTGAGATGAAGTAGATGCAGCAGTGGACACGGTTGTCCTGAATGTTTTTCCTGTTGAGGCCACTTTCGTCACGGAAATACTGCTCGAACTGCTGGTCGATGTAGTCGGCCACTGGCTTCCAGCTGCAGGGACAGGGAGGTGACATCAGAGTCCCCCCTGCAGGACCCCCAGGCTTTCCCTGGATCCCCAGCTCAACACCTCCCATGGCTCAGCATCCCACCCCAAGGAGCCCTGTGCATCCCACCCTTGTAGCTTCTGGCACCCGCAGTGGCACTGCCCATCCCTGGGGAGACCCCTCACCCATGGGACGCACCACTCAGTGTTGTTGACAGCGTCACCGAAGCCCGGCGTGTCCACGATGGTCAAGCGCAGCTTGACACCCTTCTCCTCGATGTCTACCACGTGCTTGGTGATCTCCACCGTTTGCGTGATACGTTCTGCAGCAGCAGGAGACATGGAGATGGCGGGGAACACCCCGGGCGAGGGACAATGCGGGTGACATGGGGAGACGTTGCAGCCCCCAGGTGTCACCCTCCACCCTTTGCAGGATCAGCCCCCACAGGCACCAAGGTCCAGCACCAAGAGGGTGCCATCAACCTCCCACATCCCAACGTGGATGTGCAGCCCTCCCTTGGTGGCTGTGTCACTGTCACCCCATGACAGCCCGACTCCAGCAGCACAGGGTCTGCTGGGGGAGGCATCACTGTGGGAGCATTTCTGGCTCCCTGTACCCCCCACCCCCCAAAACGTGTGACCCACAGCCCCAGGACTGTGCCTCCCCCTTTGCCCCCAGGACCCTTCCATGTCCCTGCATCCCCAAGGATGCTCCCGCTGCCCCGTGTCCACGTGGCCACACGTGCTCTGTTTTTTGGCTCCGAGCAACGGAAACAAATCAAACAACCGCCTCAAAAACAAATCAAACAAATGCCTCGAGCTCCTGGGGATTTGGGCAAGTTTGGGCCATTTTAATTCAAAAACTGGCTGCAGCTGAACCAGCTCTGTGCCCTGGACCCCGACTGTCCACAGCCTCCCGGATTTGCTGTGACTCCAGCTGATCCCCAACAAGCTGGGGCTTGTTTTCCCAATGGGGACAAAGCCCCCGCGGGGGGTCCCGGTGCCAGGCAGGGGGGGTCCTCGCTGCCTTGGAGCAGTCCCCAGTGCCAGCAGGCAGCTGGCAATGTGCCACAGGGGGGTTCGGAGACACGGAGGAGCCCAGCTGAGCAGGCAGAGGGGCTGCACCCCCCCAGGAGCTCTGCCACCCCCCCCCGGGACACCCCACCACTGGGACTGTCCCCCCTCACCTTCGGCGTTGAGCAGCTTGCGGTCCCTGTACATGTCCGTCAAGAAGAGGCTGTTGACCAGGGTGGACTTGCCCAGTCCAGATTCCCCTGGGACAAGGGGAGAAGGGTGAGAAGGGGGCATCCAGTAACCACCCCCTGCCCCGGCTCCATCACTTTTGGGATCCAGAGGAGGAGGCAGCATCCCCCATGCCAGGCTCACCCCCTACCTGCCACCATGAGGGTGAAGTCAAAGCCCTTCTTCACCGACTTGCGATGGACCTGGTTGGGCAGCGTGGCGAAGCCCACGTACTCCTTGTCATCCTGTGGGCAGAGGGGATGTGGGACAGGGAATGCCATCATCCCACCCCTCAATCCTGGGAAGTCCTGCCCCTGCATGCCCCCCCCCCAACCCCCCCCAGAATGGTCCTAGAGGGTCAGAGCTCTGCAGGACACGGCCGTGCCTGCCTCTACCCCATGGGTTGGGAGGGTGAGAACACCCTCTGCTGTGACTCCTGCAGCCCCTTGCCCCATGTCCCCTCCCCATCCTGCACCTCAGAGGAGTCGTAGGGGTCCAGCTGCCCCCAGGGGCTCCGCGGGCGGTTGGGGCTGGGGGGCGGGGGGGCGGCGATGTGCTGCTGGAAATCCGAGGGCCGAGACCGGGAGAAGATCCTGGCGTCCCTCTCGTCAGCGGGTTCGTCAGGGGGGACCCTGCCCACGCCGCAGAGGGGGTGGCCGGGCTCCCGACGGCTCTCCGGGGGCTCCACCTTCCTGGGGCTGTCGGATGGTGGGCAATCCCGCAGGAACTGGGTCAGCTCAGCCTCCTCCGAGTCCTCCTTCAGGAACCGCTTTATCTGGGGAACAAAGCCAGAGGGGACACCAATGGTGGCAGTGCCAGCTCGAGGTAGCATCACTTGGCTCAGCATCATGAGCCCCCAAGCTGCAGGAGCCAGACACATGCACCCCAAGGATGGTAGAGATGGGAGGAGAAGGGGGACACGGCCACTCCAGGGGACAGGCCACCACCCTGAGGACAGCCATGGGGACAGCCATGGGGATGGCAGTGGGGACAGCCATGGTCTTATGCACCCTGGGCGCTTACAGCTTGTGGTGCGGGGACAGCAGCTGGCTCCTGGTACTCCGGGGGACAGGGATGGGGACCTTCCCCCTGGGCACCCCGCAGCTCCTCGGGGTCTTCCGGGGTAGCCGGGACCCCCACGCACCCCATGGCCTGCCAGGAGGACGGGGAGGGGATGCCGGGGAGGAGGGAGAGACACCAAAAAGAGATGAAGAGCAGAGGAGCTGGCAGGGGGGCAGCCCTGGGGGGAGGCAGATGGTGGGCAGGATGCTGGGTCTGCCCGTGTACCCCCCCCAGCCTGCCCACTCGCAGGGGCTCAGCGTGGGTGGTGGCACACAGGGCTCCCATCCCTGCAGTCCCAGGGGACCTGACCCACAGCCGTCACCAATCCCATGGGCAACACAACCTGTTGGGCCAAGGGACTACCAGCCCCATGGCCACCCTCAGATTGTGTCCCCGCATGAACCGGGATCCCAAAAACCTCTCGCCCTGGCTCTGCCTGTCCCAGAGATGGTGCAGGCAGAGGGCCAGGGGGGCCAGGCGCAGCGGCCCCCAAGCTGGTGACCCTGTGGGGTGGTGGGGCTGGGAGGAGGGATGGGGACGGCGGGACTGGGACGGCTCCACATCCTGTTTACAAGCGCTGGCGGGAGGAGACACATTCCCAAGGGCATGTCCGGCAGCGGCTCCCGCGGGACCGAGCCCTTCTGCCAGCAGGCACCCGCGTCCCCAGCACCCGTCACAGCAACTGCCAGGACACCCCCGCCCCACGGGCAGGGAGACCCCCAAACGGGGGACACACAGGGTCAGGGGGAGACCCCGACCCTGCAGGCTCGCACCTGGGGGTCAGTGCCCCCCCGGGGTGGGGGCCTCAAGGCCAGAGCTGTCCATGGGGACCTGTGTCCTCCCCCCATCCCGTGTCCCCACTCCGTCGGCGGGGAGGGCGGCCGTGCCGGCGGCAAGGCGAGATGCACCGAATTAGCGGGCTGGAAACAAGGTCACGGCGCTGCCGGGGCTGAGCGCTCGCATGTCTGCCCCCCTCCCCGGTACCCCCACAGCCACCAGCATGGGGGGGCAGGGGGCCAGGCTGGTGCCCCCATGGCAGGGACAGCAGAGCCTCCACACTCCCCTCTCCCCCCGTGGGACCACAGCATTCAGTGGATCCGTGTGACCACAGCATCCTCTTCCTCACCAACCTTGACCTTGGGGGCTCAGCACCAGCCCCCCACCTCATCGCAGCCCAGCTGGGCGCTACACAGGGATGGGAGATGGTGTTGCCACCTCCAAGGGCTCCCAGCCCCGCTGCCACCCCATCCCATGGGGCTCCAGCCCTTTGGGGCTCCCCCTTGTCCCCCACCCCAGAGAAGCCGATGGCCTTGGCAATGCTGTGGGATGGGGTGGGTTTGCACCACATCCTCAGGGGTCCTGTGGCAAGTGCATGCCCCAGTACAGTCATCCCAGGGACGGAGCCTCCCTGCAGCACCGGGGTGCTCTGCGCCCCCCATCCCCATCTGCCCCCTCTCTCGCCCTGCCGGGGAGGGACGCTGCCCCCGTACCTCTTGCCCAGGCTGCGGCTCGGAGCAGGTGGCCATGGCAGAGCTGGTGTCACCCGTGGCCAGGAGAGGATGCCGAGCAGCACCGACTGCGCGGAGGGATGGGGAGCAGCATTAGCATAACTCCACCCTGGGCTGGCTCCGTGGCCAGGGCGCCCACGGCACCCATCAGCCAGGCACGGCCCCCACGGGTGCTGGGGGGGCAGAACCAGCGGGGGGGCACAGGAGGGGAGAGACACGCTCAGCTCCTGCCTGGTTGTCGAGATATCAAGGACCAGCAAAGCACCGTTGGCCAAAGAGGTGGCCGAATGACCACCATCACCATCATCACCAGCCTCCCTGAGCTGAGCACACAGCCCACGAGAACATTCAGCCCTGGAAAAAACACCTCCATCCCAGGACAAAAACTTCCTCCACCCCAATACGCACCAGATCCTCGCCCACTCCCCACCCTGGAGCACCCCGCAGCCACCCCGCCAGGGACCCCCAGCCTCTTTGACAAGAGAAACCAAGTTTTCCATGAAAGGCTGTTTGAAAACTCTACATTTTTGTTCCCGACAATTAAAGCATCTCTGCATGCCTCTGAGTTACTGCTCCAGCTGGGCCTGGCGGGTCTGGCTGGGAAGGACCCAGGCCCCGGCTGGGAGAAGCTGGGATGGTGCCCACCACAGAAGCAGAAGCTCCAGCAGTCCTGCCTCAGCTTCCCCAGTTCATCCTTGGGGATGCAAAGGGTTAACAGTGCCCCAGGAGGAGCCTGTGGGGTGGCATCGAGGGCACCTGAGCTGTCACTGTGGGGGGCACCCGGGAGGATGATTCACCTTGAAGGATGTCAAGATGCATCAGAGCAGCTCCGGTGCGGAGCCGGGGTCGCTCGGCCACAGAAGGGCTGCGTTTGCCAGGAAAGTGCTGAAAAGCCCCAAAGCATCATCTGGGGGTGGGACGGGTGCAATGAACCACGAGTTTGTGGACACAGAGAGGGGCCTGGATGCTTCTGTGCCAGTCCCCCGCATCCCTGGGTCCCAGCCATGCTCCTAACCCCCACGCCGGATCGCCCCCCCACCCAGCTTCGAGGTAGTGGAGACCCCCCCATCCCACCTGGTCTCATCCATCCCTCCTCATCCCTGTCCCAGCAGAGCAATGCCACCATCCCTGGCTGACACCATGGCTTTGCAGCCCCTTTCCCCCCCCATCGCAGGCCGCAGCACCCCACCATCATCCCGTCCAGGCTCTGCACCCCATCAGTGGTGCCCCCAAGATTCCCTCTGCCCGGTGCAGCAAAGTTCTCCTACAGCACCCACCGCTTTCCGAGCGTCCCACCCCACGCTCCTGGCAGGAGCGGGGATTTATCAGGGCGAGAGCCGGGGGCAGCGCGGGTGCCCCCGTAAGCGGATTACACGCCCGGCCGCGCGCGAGCCGGCACTCGGCGCCGGGGCTGTCACCGGCCCAGCAGCTCCAGCGAGGTGGCACAGGCACCGCCGCCTCCCCGCCTGTCACACTGCATCACACCTTCCCCCGGCGGTGACAGCCCGGGGGCCGCGGCAGAGGGGGGCACTGGGGCAGCAGGCAAAGCCCAAGCTGGGAAAGCCCTCGGCTGCCCGTTCGCATCGTTCCGCCTGGCACCACATTCCCATGGGATGTGTTTTCCCAGCCTGTTTCTGCAGGGAAAGGAAGGGGACATCCCAGCGAGGTGCTGTCATAGAATCATAGAATCATAGAATGGTTTGGGTTGGAAGGGACCTTAAAGATCATCTAGTTCCAACCCCCCTGCCCTGGGCAGGGACACCTCCCACCAGACCAGGTTGCTCAAATAGCCATCCAGCCTGGCCTTGAACACCTCCAGTGATGGGGCATCCACGACCTCCCTGGGCAACCTGTTCCAGTGCCTCACCACCCTCACTGTAAAGAATTTCTTCCTAGTATCTAACCTAAATCTCCCCTCCACCAGCTTAAAACCATTGCCCCTTGTCCTGTCGCTACTCTTCTTTGTAAAGAGTCCCTCTCCGGCTCTTCTGTAGGCTCCTTTCAGGTGCTGAAAGGCCGTTATGAGGTCTCCCCGGAGCCTTCTCTTCTCCAGGGAGGATCAAGCGTCCCCAGCCCACCCAAAGGTGACATCCAGACGTGCCCCCCACGGCACTCACCCACTGCTCCATGGCAGCGGTGCAGCCAAGCATCCCGTGCACAAACACCACCTTGTCCCAAAGGCACGAGCTCCACGTGGGACAAGGGCACAGTGGCCCTCACTGAAGCCCAGCTCTGCTGGGACCAGCTTGGCTTTTCCCCAGCGCAGGTGGCACCTGGGCTGTGCCTGCTCCGACCTGCCTCCAGATGCACAGGGTGCTCCCGCCAGCGCTGTCATTGAGTTTCTCACCCCCAGCCCTCCCCTCCTGCCCTGTCAGCAGCACCCCAGCTGGGAAACTGAGTCTACAGCAGCTTTAAGAGGAGCAGGGTGCTGGGCACCCTCCGGATGCAGGGGCAGGCACAGTGGCACAGGTCCCTGGGTCTGGGCAGGGTCCCAGCACGGAGGACGAGAGCCGTTCCCACACGTCCCCCCCCTGCAGCATCATAGAGTCATAGAATCATTGAGGTTGGAGCAGCATCATAGAATCATAGAATCATCCAGGTTGGAAAAAACCCTTGGGATCATCGAGTCCAACCATCTACCCTACTCTACAAAGTCCTCCCCTACACCATGTCCCTCAGCACTGCATCTAAACAGCCCTTAAATACAGCCAGGGATGGGGACTCCACCCCCTCCCTGAGCATCCTCTTCCAATGCCCGACCACTCTTTCGGTGAAAAACTCTTTCCTAATGTTCAGTCTAAACCTGCCCTGTTGGAGCTTGAAGCCGTTCCCTCTCGTTCTGTCACTAATTACCTGCGAGAAGAGACCAGCACCAACCTCTCTACAGTGAGGTAGAGAGGTTGGTGCTGCCAACTGGTGCTCTCCAGCCCCTTTCCTACAAGGAAGCCTAAAATCTCAAGGGACCTGCGAGTGCAGGGACCCCAGGATGGGACCCCAGGATGGGACCACGCAAGGTGTCTTCCCACGAGCCAAGTGACAGCAGGGCCAGCCCAGGCTGGAAACAAGGTGGTGGCGTCTCAGCACGTGGGGGACAAGCGAGAAGATCCAGCCCACCAAGAGCTGGGAGCAGAGGTTGAAGGCAGTGGGGGAAACCATTGCTCATCCTGCTTCTTGGAGCGAGCCTCAGACCGTTCTGGGGATGGGG